CTATAAAGCATAGAAAACTTCTTAAGATACGTATCCTTCGCGAAGGCCCAAACAACGTTAACACCTACCACCTAAAGTCTGTTGCTGTTCACTACAAACACACAACAGTTCTCAACAAACTTAAGTTATCTCGCAGAGATAGCTCTCATACACCCGACACAAGGCTAATAGCGCTATAAAAGAAATCCAAACTTTTGGTCAGCACTTCCGGGAGACTTAAAATTTGTCCTCGGTGAGATGCTCGATTCCAACCAGACGAATCGTATAAGCCGAGAACCTCGCGGATTCTAAATCGGTATGGAATCAGGTCAAAATCGCAACAAGCAAAACGAAAGCCGACTAGTCATCACATAGCCTCAATCCGAAAGTAAACCTAGGTCTTGCCCTAAACCCAACACACTGGTCTCTAACGTCCCAAGGCATGATTCGAGATCCTAAAGGCATGTCTCTTCATTCAAATCTAAACGCTCACCGAATTTCGAAAAATTCTGGAACGGGCAAACGAATAGGGCGATCTACAAAAAGAGTTAGCCTATGAGACGATGACTCATATTCTTCCCTCTACATTCATACGAATAAAAACACGCTCAACGCAAACTGATTTATAATAAAGCCGCAAAGCGGCAAGGACTCAGAGGAACACACGGCTAGTCCGAAAACTATAACGGCCACACTCGGCCAGAGCAAGCAGCGTACTAAGCTAGTCTCAAGGCCGACAAAGGTCCAATGCACATAACTAGACTGTAAAGGTCTCACTGGGAAACATGTCATACGAACCTTAACTCCAAGACAAACTACTAAAGGCTTGATCCCTTCAATAGGGTACGTAGGCAGCCTTCACAAGACGCATCACTAATCTTAAACGCTTTCCGCTCCCTGGAGAGTGGAAAGATCACTTTCAACAGACCTTTCCAACCATTAATTCCGCCTAACTTACCTAAATTGGCTAACCACTTGCAAGAACCTCACGCTAGAGCTCAAGGTTTTAGCGAGCTGGGGGGGGGGTAACTGTTGGTGTCAAAATCGATCACGACGGAATCAATGGCTAAAAGTCTCCGCAAAAATAAAAATATGTTTTATAAAACACGAGAAGTTGATTTATAAAATTCTAAGGACTTTTCGAAAAAAGGAAATCCGCGGAAAACTTTTGAGATTGTCATCTCGGAAAAAAAAACGAAACAATCTCCGATTACCCGATTGCTCAAGTTAAGCGAAAAACCGCATCCACCGTAAATCGCGAGCAGGTTCGACTGAACCAGTTCAACGTACGACAAGCCGAATCAGCCGGTTCAGCTCGCCGTACGGCGAACTGGTTCGTCCCTGACCAGCTCACTGTACGACGAGCTGGTCGCCTCAAAGCAGCTCGACGTACGTCGAGCTGACCGTCCTGAGCCTTGCTCCCCCGCATCCTTGACGTAAGGCATACGTCCTTTGATTCAATCATGCTCAGAACCATGGTCAAAATGTCTCTCGTTTCATCTCGATCCGTCTCACCATTCGAGTTTTACGATAAAAATCGTAAAAGTGTTCTTTTCTCGTAAGAATTCGGGAAGATCGTATAAAACTGTAACGATTAGACGGAACATCGTACATTGTAAAACTATACGATTAACTCGAGAAATTTTATGGAAACAGCATCGTATCAAGAAACGATCTCGTCTAAAATCGTAAAACGGTTTTTATCGCAAAATGGCTCGGAAAGTCCTAAAACGCGATAAAAGCCCACTTGCGACTTTAAGCGAAGTCCGGCCCAAAGATATAATGACGGTTTGACGATTTACTCGCAGAAAGAAGATAAATGTCAAGTTTGAAGATAAATGTCAAGTTTGAAGATAAATAGAAGATTTCCGCAAGGAAAATGGAAAGATCGAGATAAATGGAAGATTCCTGATAAACTCGAATTTGAGCGAAAAGGAAGGACTAAACCACCTAAGGAGGGAGTATATAAGCAGAAGGCTAAGGAGAGAAGACCTCTCTGCACTTAGAAACTGAGGCTTATTTCTCGATAAGTTCGGTTTCTATGACTGGCACTCAATCACTAGACGAAATCGCCTATGCAGTTTGATCTCTTGTCCAGCTCTACCAATTGAACTACGTTCGACTTGATCCTCGAAAGGGGTACGTAGACAGCCTTTCATAAGGTTCAGTCCGAAATCAATCAAACTCTCTTTTTCTTATCTTTTTCGTCTTTTGTTATCGAGCTGCGACTCGACTAGGTTTAGGGTTTTATGTTGATAACTCGCTGATGGCCCCTGCGGCCAAAGCCTTTGTAATCTCTTTTAAAGATCGCAACGCTCTTACGCGAATTCGAAATAAGATCAACTTTCTTCATAAAATCGTTTTATCATGTTTTTCATATTTTCCGCATTTATTTGGTTATTTGTCATTGGCTCTCGCAGAGATCCGGGTCCTCTGAAAAATTAGGGTTTTCCTAAGTTTTCTTATTTTACGGAAATCGACAATGTGAATTTCGGTTCCCACAAAAACACGACCATCTAATGGTGATACTGGCGGCCCATCAAAAAGGAGAGCTCCACACCGAGAAACGATTCCCTCCCCAAAAACTCAACAACCGATAGAAATTGAAAGAAGAATCGCCATCGCTAAGGAGACACTGATCCGAAAAGAAACTCTGATCTTCTACGAGCATGAAGCAATTATGCCACACAAAGATGCCCTGGTTGTTGCTACCGACCTCGCCGGAGTCATTGTGACAAGAGCCTTTATAGACACAGGTAGTGCCGGTAATATCATCCCACGAGACACACTGCGTTTGATAGACCGAGGCTGCCGCATAGTCAACCGAGAGGGATATCCACATCGAATTCGACGGCACAAGTGTACAATTCTCGGAAACCGTATCGATCACAAATAAGGTCCACAATTTAGAATTGGAGACCAAATTTGCCGTTTCTGAACATCCCATACACTTCGACATTGTCTTGGGAGATCGGGGTTGCATAAAATGTGGGTGGTCCGTTCGATCTACATCTATGTGTGAAATTCATATCACCCACCAGAGAAAAGACAATTTACAGCAGCCAGAAAAAAATCTTGAGCATGCTACTTGGCAGAGTTTTGAAAAATACATCCGCGAGAGAAGAACATCCCATCCACTCGCGACCTCAGATCAAGAAAAACGAAGGTCTCTCAAGCTTTATCCCACTCGACAAACAGTTCCCCGTTAAATGCGTCAACATCGGGAACAACCTCTTTGCGGAGATAAGGCGCAACTTATCATCTTTCATGAAACAAAACATTAGAACATTTGCTTGGACAGCCGTCGATATGCTTGGGATAGACATCGCAATAGCGTCTCACCATTTAAATGTCGATCCTACACACAGACCGGTCAAGTAGAAGCGAAGAAAATTAGGCCCTAAACGTTCGATGGCCGTGAACGACAAAGTCGACAAACTGCTAAAGATCGGCTCTATCTGAGAAGTCCAATACCCGGACTGGTTGGCCAACCCCGTCGTGGTAAAAAAGAAGAATCGGAAATGGATAATTCGCATCGATTTCACCGATCTCAATAAAGCTTGTCCGAAAAACAGTTTCCCACTACCACATATCGACCGCCTGGTAGAAGCCACAGCCAGACATGAATTACTATCGTTCATGGAGGACCAAGAGAAAAAGGAGTTTCATCACAGATCACAACACTCGTAGACACTCTACCGCCGAAGTCCATCCGAGAAGTGCAACAACTTACCGGAAAAATCGTAGCCCCGAATCGCTTTATCTTGCGATTGACTGATAAGTGTCTTCCATTCCACAAGCTCCTGAAGGAGAACAAAAAGTTTGAATGGAACGAGGAATGTGATGTCATGCTAAAGGAACTCAAAGCATATATAAGCCAGCCTCTAGTGTTGTCGAAACCAATCGAGGGCGAAACACTATTCCTATAAGTGGCCACTTCCGAACACGCAGTCAGCAGTGTGTTAATCCGAGAAAAAAACGGCGAGCAAAAACCTATATATTATACCAGCAGATCTCAGATAGATGCGGAAACAAGATATCCCGGGATGGAAAATTGGCCTTAGCAGTCGTCACAGCCGAAAGAAAGTTAAGGCCATATTTTCCAATCACACACGATCACAATAATAACATCTCAACCGCTGCGAACCATTCTTCATAGCCCGACCCAATCAGGGAGATTAGCGAAGTGGGCGATCGAACTCAGCGAGTATGATATCAATTATAAACCTTTGACGAGCTCTAAAGCCCATGTTTTGGCCGACTTCATTATCGAGCTCACTCCCAAAGAGGTTGATTCGAACTTCAACTCGAAAAGGTGGAAATTACAGCTCGAATCCCCAACCGGAAAAATAATCGAACAATCATTCCGCCTAGGATTCAATGCCTCAAATACCGAAGCCGAGTACGAGCCCCTAATCGCTGGATTGCGACTTGCTCAAAACATCGGAAGAAATAAGTGCCTTCAGCGACTCACAATTAGTCACGAGCCAGTTCCACAGGGAATACGAAGCCAAAAACGAAAGAATGGAAGCCCACCTCAAAGTCTTGCGGGACATCACAGAACAGTTCGATAAATTCGAACTCACGAAAATACCTCGAGACGAAAACACGTCAATAGATGCCCTCGCCGCGCTAGCATCGACTTCCAATCCCGCAATAAAATGGATAATACCGGTGGAAAGAATCGAAAACCCATGCAAAGAAAGCGACTCGCCTGGAAACGTCCATCACCGAATAGAAACAATTATTACCGGAAGTAGAGTCAGGGCACCGCCAAAGAAACGAGCCAAGATGAAGAAGTTACATGTCCTCAGTTGTTGGCCATACTCGTGGAGTCGCAAGGACTAGTATAACCGAATGCATGTTAATGAGAAGTTACTAAAAGTCTTACAATGATGAAAATTGAAAAACAGAGGAGATGAGACTGGCAAGTTTGTATAAAACGAACAAGGTCAAAGGTATCGCTGCAATTGCTAAAACTTTTTTTGTTGTTGCAGGTAACAAGGGTTGCATGTTGTAATTGTTTGCTTGTATTATATAGTTAAGTAATGTAATAAACATTGAATGGCGATTGTATTAGTAAAGGACAGAGCTTGTTGCAAACTGGGACAAGCAGGAATTAAATAAAGAAAGATACGAGTTCATTACAAGCCAGAGATTCAAAGTTAGAAAATAAAAAAGACAAAGCCTTAGTTAGGTGGTGGTTTTGTTGACAAGCTTCTTGTTTCTAGAAGAAGACTGTGTAGGCGGAATCACATCTTCTAGCTTGAGAGGAGGAGCATCTGCTTGGAGATCTTCTTCTTGCATGCTGCGTTAGGTGAAAATATTAATTAACATATATATAGATTAATGAACGAGTTACCAGAACGAAAACATGGGGTCAAACACAATTGGTACTGCTTAAATTAGCAAAGAGGAAAATTCATTCAAACCTTGATGAAGGAAGCGTGGAGCTACTAGTCATAATAGCCTCGGACAATTTTTCCTTAAGCACGAAATTAGAGAAGAAATTCAATTACAAAAAAGGTTTTGAGGATAAAGAATTAATTAGAGGAAAGTTCAATTACAAAAAAAAAGTTTAGAGAATAAAGACTAACAACCTCAGTTTCACTTGTTTCAGATTCAGATTCAGATTCTGATTCAGAGTCGGATGATAAAGGTTCTAGCCCATTCATACGCCGCCTGAGAATATCCCTCATCCGATTGGTAAAAGGGCGATGCCTGCGGTTCCTACATCTTATTGCATCCCTTATAGCAACATGTGGATGAGTTGGATACATACCAATAACTACCGACTTGCTGTTGCCCATCCTGTAGTCCAATCCTCCAAAAATCATCAAACTGCGGCTTTCGTATCCCCCCAACGTCGAAGTGCGGCGAAGTCTCCTCATGTCGAAAGCCTAAACTTTTAGAGACGGTGGATGCCCTAAATCTATATATTAGGAGATTTATATAAGTATATACTTAATGGATTGTTTTCCACTCCTATCCAGCCCGTACTATTATCTCCTTTAAGCCCATAACGTGGCCTTTTTGTCGCTCAAGCATATTAACTAGAAAAACTAAAGGTTATAATCTTATTATATATAACTTTTTTTTTTGATAAAAGACTTCTTATTATATAAAACTTGGTTCATCAAAGTTGTTAGTTAACATGATCGTGACATTTATCGATAAAAAATTAAGATTGTGACATGTATCAAAATAATGTATCATAAATATAAAATTTTAATATATAAAGAATTATTTGATACCCGTTTTTCTTTTTTCTTTTAGATCCTAAACAAAATATCAATAACAAATTATTAGTTGGTTCTTCAAAGTTGCTAATTAACATGATCGTGACACGTATCGATAAAAGATTTAAGATTGTGACATATGTCAAAATATTTATCATGAATATAAAATTTTATTATTTAAAGAATTATTTGATACCAGTTTTCTTTTTTAGATCCTAAACAAAAGATTAATTGAAAATATCTGCAAGTATTTTAATTTTATAAAAATCATAATTTTCAATTATTAAATCGTACTAAAAGATATTAATAAAATAAAATAGAAGATTTCAAATAAAAACGAATTATGTTCAAAATCCTACCAATAAAAGAAATCTTATTATATAAAACTTAATTTTTCAAAAATTTCTAATTAACATGATTGTGAAACATGACAATTATATATTTAAGATTAAGACATGTGTTAAATTATATTATAATTAAAAATATATATACTAAGATAATAACAACAAATTTGTTAGAAAGTAATACTAAATAGTATTTAATAATAGTTTTCCATTTTAAATACTAAACAAAAACAATAATTGCAAAATACCTTTCAATAAGAATTTTCTTTTTAATACTGTGACGTGTGTTAAAATATCTTATGATTAAAAATATATATACTAAGATAATATAAAAGAATTTTAAATTTTATTCAATAGTAAAAAGTAAAAAATGTTGAATTGTACTTTTCCTTTTTACAAATAGTAAAGAAAATTTTTTTTTGTAATATAATTTATTTAATACTAATTTTTCAATTTCTTAAATATTAAATAAAATATAATTTTAAGAGATTATTTGATAGTAATTTTCCTTTTGATATTGTGAGATGTGTTAGAACTCATAATTAAAAATATACATACTAAGATAACAAAAATGAATTTTGAAAAAAAAAAAAAATTTAATTTAATAGTAAAAAGCAAAGAGTGTTTAATTGTAGTTTTCATTTTCACAAATCCTAAACCAAAGGGGGTTTTCCAAAACCAACCTAAAAATTCAAGTCAAACACAAAACCAACCCTTTTTTTGTCATTTCTATTCACCATTAAAAAGAACAAACCCTCCTCATGTTTTTAAACTATTTACAAAATTGCCATTTTTTATTAATTTCGAAAATGCCAAAAAACCTATTACACCCTAAACATTTCTCCTTATTTACAACAATGCCATTATCATCAATATCTCCAACCACCATGAACCACCATTGATGAGCTCTTAAAGCTCAAGATATGAATTTTCAACCACTTATTTAACTTTCTAAACCAACAATACTTTATTTCCTCCCGTTTCCTCTCTATTTTCATCTAATCAATCCTCATAACTCTCATTTTTATAAACACAAACTTCATAGTTTCGATTTCATTCACAAGTGAATCGTAAAAGGTGCTTTTTTGCTCATATTTGGATTCTAGACGGTGGAAAAGCTTGGAAACAAGCTTTAAACCGGAAAAATGTAACTATTTACATGCTTTTCGTCATATCTCTGATCTGTATCGCGAAAGTAGACTGTATTATATGTCTACACTTACGTGTAGACTTACAATGCAGTCGACTTGTCAACACACATGTTACTTTTGCAATTGACCAAAATATTTTTTTTGTAATGTAGCCCTACAAGTACGTCAACGTATTTATCTTTGAAACCATGAACAAAAAAATTGGTAGACTTACTAAGCAATCTACATAAAAGAGATTAGTTTTGCATTTGACCAAACTTTTGACTTACCATAGTAGACTTTCTTGGAAGTCTACACTTTGTAGACTGCTAGGGAAGTCTACTGAATGTTAGTTTTGCATTTGACCAAAACTTTGACTTTGTTGAATAGTTTTCTTTTGTATTTTACTAAAATGTTTAGAAACTGACCAAAACTTACTTTACGTGTAGACTTCATATGTAGTTTACAAATCTCAGGAAAAAAGTAGACTGTATATGAAGTCTACTATTTTATGTTGGTCAATTGCAAAACTAACCTGTCGGGTTATAGTGTAGACTTTTACTGCAGACTACGAATTTGTAGACGTTTTTTAGTCTACTCGTAGAAAGTAAAACTTGGTCAATTGCAAAAATAACCTCTTTCAAACAAATTTAAAATTGTAGACTGAATTGTAAGTCTACTTTTAAAAGTCAAATTTTGAACGAATTCGGGTCAATTGCAAAACTAATATTTTTAAAATGTAGACTAAAAAGGAAGTGTACTTGTATAAAATCACAATTTTTTTTTCAAATACAGAAAGTAACCCGTGAATTTTCAATTGCAAAAACCAACCTAAACGTAGACCTTTAAGACAGTCTACAAAATGTAAACTGAAAAAATGTCTACATTTATTTAGACTGAATATACAGTCTACATAGAAAAATCTATTAAAAAGTGGATTTGTGTATTGTTCATTAAGTTTTTTCAATTTTTTTTTTTGTATGAAAGTGTGTGTTAGTTAATCATAAGGATCTTCAATGATTTTCTTTCGATAATCTGTTATAATCATGAAACTAACACATTTTTGGTTTGTCTATGTTGTTAGCTTAAAATTTGTAGACGTACTTGTAAGTCTATGTTAAAATTTTTGGTTTAACTATATTGTTTGCTAATAATTGTAGACGTACTTGTAAGTCTGTTTTATAATTTTATCAAACATGAAATTTTTGTTTGCTAATTATGTAAACCGTATTTTTTTTTTTGCAGGAGATGGCTCAATTACTCGTTGTATACAAGGAATGGGTGGTGAAAAACTCTAGTTGTGTTAGTGTTATGTGTCGAACTTATGAGTTGTCTTATTGCTATAGATGTTCTATAATGTATTAGTGTCTCATTGCTTTGAGTTGTCTTCTATTGGATTTGTAGATCTTTAGTATGTGTTGAACTTATAAACTATATTGTTGCTTTGGATGTTGTCTAATGTGATAAACTTATGTTATATTTTTTCTCTGTCAAGTAGACTTCTTTGTAAGTCTACAAGAAAGAAGACTAATAAGTAACAAAAATTGTCTGTCAAGTAGACTTATATACTTGACTCTATACTTGACAAGAAGCAGTGGGATAACCAATAAAAAACTTTCATAAGAGCATGATTATCCCACAACCCCATTTTGGGTCTCTTAAACAAAATTGTTTCAAACAAAATTGAAGTTTCAAACAAAATTGAAGTTCCATCTTCTTCCCTGCTCCCCACATTCCTCGTCTCACTCTATGCTTTGCAATCTCCCTTGGTATCCCCATGTCTTCATGGTGAAACAAAATCACTTCACAGGCACTTGTTACTCCATTGTCTCTTCTTGACTCCACTGCATAAAGTGATATATAACATCATTAAGCTATGTTATTTCAATGTTTTGATACTTACAAAGTGATTTTTACCTGGTCCAATGCACCAGCTAGAGTAGAACAAGTCTACACGTTTTTGTTTGTTGTTACGTGGTAAACAAGGAACAATTACTCCCTGAAGCAAGAACAAGAGATGATCATTAGAGTGTAATTAAAACAACTGTTACACTTATACTATGTGCTCTCCAATACCTTTGTAATACAGTAATAAGTTTCGCCACAGTTCCATATCCTCCGACCAATTGCATACTCTCTCTATCACTACATAAAAACGGGAACTGCAACATATCAAAGAATAAAGTCAAACACACAAAGTGAGAAAAATTGGTAAACTGCTAAGCAATTTGGACGTTCCAAATCATCCACTGAACTATGCACAACAAATAATAATCATGATATCATTCATGACAGTGATCAAAGAATTCAATCAAGAAAATTTAACGTAACTCAAGAAAGCATTTCAGAGAAAATAAGTGATCCTGAACAGAGTAGCACAAGTCTATAAGGTGTCTACGAGGGAAGCTATCAAAACATCTAAAAACTAAGCCTTGTGAACCAGAAGTTCGAAACAAGATAGAACCTACGACCAGAATAAGGAGTAAAACAAGCTTAAGCTAACCCAATGCATCCAACTATATAATAAAAAATCAGTGTTTCTCTATACAGAATCTAAGACAATGCATCCGAAAATATAATGAACAATCAATGTTTCTCTAAACAGAATTTGAAACCTAAAATAAACTTTCCACCAAAAAGGTTACAATGAAGAGATTCAATTATCTACAACTATCATACAAATCATTCAATCACATACGAACAGTAAAACATAACTGATTCAAGCCCAATCAGACAACAACAGCAACAAAGGACGAGACTTAATAGCGAAATGAAATGACTTACCGCCTTACGGAGCTTCTTAATCAGAGCCATTGGCTTCCTGGTCAAACCTCTAGAAAACCTAAAACCATTTTCAGACAAGTAAAAAAATGTCACAACAAATCTAAAACATATCCATTACAGAACATCATCATCTACGGTCGGAAGTCTCTTTAATCAATGTCTTTTACCTTCTGCGAATACGAGAAGGGAAGAGCTTGACAAGGTCATCAGTAGACATATCGGGAAGAGGTGAGTGATAAGACTTCCTCTAGAGGCTCACCGAGCCGCTGAGGCAAACCGAGTTTTGAGTTCTTGTCTTCATCATTCTGGGAGCAACCTGCAACAAAAAGAGCCAGAGAAATCAATAAAACACAACACATGCTTGTACACTACAAACATGTATTAACTCATAACACTTCATCAATTT